CAGAAGGCCATTTAAGTAGCACATTTGTGATGCACGGTGTGCAAGGCTACGATGTCGAAATGCCATTGTGGCGCACTCTCCACCCTCCACCCTCCACCCTCCACTCGCCACTGGCACGACAACACGCTGGAATTGGAGAAGAGGTGAGTGTGCCACGCCACCATACGTGGAGGCGATGATTTGCTCAGTGCAGGTGAGTGCGGAGGGAGGAAGAAGTTGGAAGCTGCAAACAGCGACTCCATGTCTCGGATCTGTGTGGATTACAGTACACACCAACCACCTTCTCCATTGGCCTACCTCACTCAAACACACATGTGTGAGGCACAACTTCTTCCTCTACTCGTAAATTATCTGCTCATTAATGATGAGACGACTGTGCACACCTCACACTGGTCACGAGTTGCGTTGTGCTGCAGTGTAGATTTGGTGGGAAGGGGGAGGTGGGGCGGAGAGGAGGGGTTGGAGTGTGGAGACTTGACGCCTTCATTCCCCACCATCTCCTCCACTCAGTGCATATTCTTCCCCTACACCTTGACATTCGTCTCACACCATTCACCACATCCACTCCTCACCACCATCGCACTACCACACGAGACCAACTATCACGTCGATCAGGTGGAGATTGGGTAACTGCCACATCCATTCAGTGTCCACTGCCACCCTCACCTCCACCTTCCACACCACTTCATTCACCCACCTTCCCTCCTCACTCCACCTGCGAATCAACAATTTAGGCATTTGCCTACCGTCATCGATGCAATAATCCACTTGCCCATGGTCTGCAATGCACCCCCACCTGACCCCATACACAGTGGCTACTCCCAGTCATTCGGTCACCTGTGTGACCGCTTCACCCATGACTCATCAGACGGGCAGACATGCAGGCAGGCAAGCCCACATGTAGGCAGGCAGGCAGGCAGGCAGGCGGTCAGGCAATGCGACACTGTCCTACCAAACCAACACCACTTAGGCTCAGATGCTGCGCCAACACTGCCTCCACTGCCAAGTCCACTGCACCTCACGCCTCCACCACTCATTGTCTGCGCCTCCCCTCCCACCTCTACTTCATCCATGCCACAGACGGTATCACGCCTCTAGGCAGCCTCTACATGAGGCATCTGGTGATGCGATCCACCTGAATGTGCACGTCGTCACCTTCATCCCTTCGCTC